AGTTCAGACGTGTGCTCTTCCGATCTCCCCAAAACCCCAAAACCCCACAAATAGCATTTACACGAGAATTGAATATTAATAAAATAATCTATTGAATTAAAAAAATGAGTGATGGAAAATCGCAATAATAAGACTCTTTATCTAACGTTGTGAGGTAATAATTTAAATTCGAATGATCATAAGATAATAGAATAAAAAAGCATAATAAGAGCAGGGAATTGGAGCAGAGCATTATTGATCCTAATCTAAGGTCAATTGATTGATCAGCTTTGGATTAAATGCGATAAACTACTCAGCTTTCGCAAAGAAACAGCAATTATAACTAAAAGATTCATTCTAATATTCAAATGAAGCCAAGAATAAGAATAAAAAACAACAATGAAATTAATCATATTTCTCTAAGTAAGGAGATCTATACTCAACCTTAGACTAAATAGAATTAAGAAGCGATGAATAATCTCAATTACTTTTCAACTAAGAAGAATATTCCACTCAATTAGTCTATTTCTAAATGGGCATCAGAGCATAATATGGAATATCGCGATAAATCGACAGAAAGGGGTAAATCTTCACAAAGAGTGAACAGAATTCAGATAAAGAACTCTAATATACATCAAGTCAACTAGAATTTAAATGAGTAGCCAAAGGTAATTGAAATTGACTATTTAATCGATTGTATAGATTAGGACATAGTTTTAAGATCATATGAGAAAATACATGAAAATGCAAACTAATCAGCTTGAAAGCCAATGAAATTAAGAAATTCTGGGGTTAAGGTAAAAATTTTAATTATTATCATTATAATTTAGACATTCAATAGAAGAACATCATGATTCGTAGGTTCTTATTGGAGAAAAAATCGTTGAGTAATAGTAAATATAACCTGAGAGGAAACTTAAGGAAAAACTGCTAAATCTAAAGGATAATGTTTACCAATCTTAAAACGTAGGCAAACAAAATAAAACAAGGATAATCATTAATGATCAAAGATCTAAAAACAATGAAATTATGATAAATGATAGAGGAGTAATAGATAATTCGTATGATCAGATAACATATAGAGGAGTTAATAGCAAATTATCTCCTAAAAAAGTAGTGAATAGAGTGTCAAAATCTCTGGCTAGAGGAACAAAACAGCAAAATAATTTAGTAAATGTGAATAACAGTGCTAATGTAGGCAATTTATACTTGGCTTAATCTTCGAATAATCCGCATCCTTATTAATCTGTTCTTAGAGATAGGCCGAATAGAAAGATTGTAAAATTAGGCACTACTTAATCTAAGTTTATTGCAAAAGGTAATAATAAAAATTCTTATTTTTTTAGAGCAGTCAATAGATAATGCAAACAATAACAATAAATCTTCATCTCAAGATCTCACACTTAATGACAGTTTTTAATCTACTAGGAAAAATTAATACGTTATTCATTAATCAAATAACTCCAATAAGATTAAATACTTTCCTTAAAATAATATAATAGTCTAAAACCACCGATCTCCAAAAGGCTAAAGCTAGCAAATCGCAACTGGAAGTGTTAATATATAGATACAAGTAATAGATAACTAGTAGCATCATTATAAAAAGAAGGGTGGAGAGTTACGTACTTAAAGGACTAACATTGGCACAGTACTAAAGTCCAGTAATTTGATAACAAACCTTTAGAAGAAAGTGATGGATGACTTCAGCTACAGACAAAGTAAAGCAAAAGAAAGAGCTGCAATTCATGATAGATATGAAAACACTATAAAGTAATCTAGAGTTCAAGATACCAATATGTCCATTGAATTAAGTACAGAAAGAAGAAGTATAGTCTAAAACTCTCTTAAAGCTCCAAGAATAAACTACGACTCAATTAACTACAATAATCATAGGATTGGGTATGATATTGAAGAAATGCATAATATAACTGTCCGCTACTAACAGCAACTCAAGAGTGTGGAAATGAAAGGAAAATACAGTCTTAAATCTAGTGTCTTTCATGATGATAATTTAGAAGTTAATCATCTCAATAACAGTTAACAGTATAATACAGTATGTGCTATAGAATCAGAAATAGATTTGGATTATTGAATTTAAATAGGTAGAGCTAATACAATTTGCTTTACATTTTGCTAGTAATAAATCATTATGACGTTTAAGAGTTATTAAATTATAATTTTTTTGTCTCAATATATAAAAGTCTAATCATTTAAACAAATAATATTCTCAATCAAGATTTATCACTTATGCAGTACCTTCCCTCTACATCTGAGCTTGTTGCAACTTTAATGCATTCTGTGCTTCTATCTCCAAACCAATAAATGAATCCTCTCCTATTACTCCATTTACCAATCCATTCATATTTACAAGAGCCAGTCTTATCTTTGGACGGAAGAATTTCAAAGAGAATAGCACATTAATAAATAACTATCTAATCCTTTCAGAAAGGAAAGAGTAAACTGGTTTCTACAGAGCCATTGCCATAATCATTTAAAGTCTATCAGTTTAACCAGAAGTCTCAGCATTATTCATTAAAATTACGAGAGCATTGGATATTTTTTCTAGTAATGTTCCCTATTCTTTTGGAATGGAGCATATCAACCCCACAGTCATGTAATCCAGATACTTATCAACTATATCCATTGCATTTCTACTTTGGATAAGATAGCAGAAAAACAATACGAGTTAATTGTTAGTCTCTTTTTCATTAACATTTAGAAGTGTTTCACTGAATAGAATGATGATGTCATTGAAATACTTAGAATTCTTGAGGATGTTAATGTTCATCTCAGCCACTCTATTCATTAATTCACTGAGAGATTTGATAACATCAGTATTTAGTGCCTCAATTGAGACTTAACCTTTCAGATATATTTTACTCATTATTACTTGGCATAATTCATCGTATAGTAACCCCAGAGTAGTTTGAACAGAAGGTTCATCTTTTAACATTTGACAACTAAGTGTAAATACCTATAAACAACTAATATTCTCAGGTTGGAGATTGAAACAAGTTATAAGAGATTTAGCTAACTACTAGAATATATCTTTTAGCTTTGACTTAAGTGCATGGAACAGTCTTTGGAAAAAGTTACATATGTAAAGAACAACTTCGGTATCATTATATTTTTACTCAAGGATGGTAAATAGTAGGTTTAGAATTCCAGATACGATAGGGAATAAATTTTGATAAAGAATTTCCTAGTCAATATGTTCTAATGCCTTAATGCTTCCAGAAAGCATAGCTAGAGATTTAACTAATTCAAACCTGGTGTCATAGTCTGTCAGAATTTTCTGAATATCAATATTATTGAAGAAACTAATGGCGATCGATAAAGTTTGTTGAATTGCAAGTCCTAGCTTATCATGTGGGAGTTCAGCACAAATAGTGCTGACACCCTCAATAAGTTTTCCTACATGATCTTATTGCATACTGGTGTAATTTTGCTGAAGATGATTATAAAGAATTTAGAACTCTTCGTCACCAAACTTGTGTCTACATTATTAGCACACCTCAAAGATTGTTTTATAAATAAGGTCTTAAATATCACGATGGGTTTATGAATAGAAAATAAGCAGACTCAATACCCCTTTTAGCAGTTAAGGAAAAGCCTATAAATATTAAGCTCCCTCCTATATAAAGCTAATACATCCTCGAGCAATTTAGTTATTTTATTGATAAGTTACTGGCTAACCGATAATGCTTTCAAATACGACTTTTAAGAACTCAATATCTATTTGAGATTACTCCATTGCATCTAATAGACTTTTACAAGTAAAAATAGCACTCTCAAAAAGCATGGGGTCATCAAGTTTTATTTTTTCAATGATTGTTCCAAAAATTAATTTTTACCCCTCTTCTCTGAATATTTTCTTTATTAGAAGATATGCCTTGAAATATACATCCTATGTAAAATCTCTATACTTCATAACACTCATTCCTCTCTCCTATTAATCTATTTCATCCTACTCTTCATATGTTTTAGCATGATTCAAAGCCTTTTTGCACTAAGTTATTAAGATCTTGAAGACCTCAACATATGGATTGAACAAGTACTCCTTTTTATTTAGGTCTTCAATGGTCTATACACATTTAACACATAATCAAGATACTTACATTTATAATAGTTTCTTTGAACTCCTCCCAAAACTCCAAAGTTTACTAAGATATCTTCAAATTCTTGCATGAAGCATTATCTAAGAGCAAGTAAAACAAAACTTTGCTTGTATCTGATTCTCTAATGAGGAGTATTTCGTAGTTTTAACAAATTGCCATTAATAACTGAGTGTATTTCATTGCATAAGTGTGAGCATCATCATCTTCTAAGCTTAAATTGCCGGACTATATAAAAGTCTCTCTGTTGTTCTTTAAGTATTCGACAATTAAATGAAGGAACTGCTGATCTTTCTCTGGAATATCGCGAAAAGCTTATTCAAAAGAACTAGATTCCAGAATTTTAGCATATTTAGACTTAAATAAAAGTTTCTTGAAAATCTTGAATACTTTAAGACTCTCCAAACTGCCTTAGTTTATCAACAAAAATAAAGAGCTAATAAAGTTATCATTTGGAATAAATGTCTTTGAGGAGTATTCACACCAATGCTTAGCTGTTGACAAAGCTAAATCATAACACTCACGAGCTACTGATTGGGGGTTAGTTATAATTTGATTTAAGAACTCTAAAAGTTAGCTTAAATTGCTTCTGAGGAAATTCTCAACAGCACTAGATGTTCTCTTATCAAAAGTTTACTAATCAAATATCAAAGCAATGTGCTTCAGAATTTAGAGTGAGATATAGCATTGCTTTTGGTCTACACTTCCCTCTTGAATAATAGTAGTAATTGAATCTTCCCAAAATGTATTGCAAGATTTAATGGCAATATAAGCGATGGCCATACAAAGTCTCTCAACTGCAATTCTCGATTTTTACATGTCCATATCCTTTATCTAAAATATTTGTTAGAATAACAAGTTTATGATTACCAATCTGAAAATACTATCTCTTAACGACTTAACATTTTAATCTTTCATAAAATAATCAGCGTCATTTTGAAGTTTCTGATATAAAGCCTGGGCTCCTATAAACTGAATATCTGCACCCTACTAAGGAAGCAAAAGTTGCTCTGCAATGTGCCATGCTGAATCGCTCGCCTTAAAATAATTATTTTGAAACAACCTTACTATAAATTTGAGTATCATTCTGTTAGCTTGAGCTCTTTGATCTTTTGTGGATCCTTAAGAGAGAATTCTGTAATGTTGGACTACAATATCTGGAGTGAATTCGGCAACTTATTCCATCTTTAAGTTAATTAATAATTTATATCTTTCAATTTCATAAAAATCTTTATCTTAATTGTTATCGTGATTCATTTCTTGGGGTTTTGGGGTTTTGGGGTTTTGGGG